ACAAGGATGTGCCCAAGGTGACAAATGGGAATGAGACCCAGGTAACAGGGACATGCTTAAGGCAATAGAGATGTACCCCAGGTGACCATATGGCCAGTGAGATGTGACACTAGCTCTCGTGGGGACCTGCACAGAGCAGCTTGGTCATGGTCCCGCTGGTGCTCCAGCACACAAGCAGGAGGCAGAGAATTCTTGCTATTCCCTGTCCTCAGTGAAGACGGGAAGCAGGACACGACCTCCCTGCGCATTTTCAGCCTGTTGGCTCCTACTGGTCACCTTGCCAGTGGGACAGTGCCTGTGTGAGGGGGTTGCTGCTCACCCAGCTCCTTTCCATCAGAGCTGTGGGGGGAGTGGTGGAGATTGGCGAGTGTCCGAGGTGGGAAGCTCCAAGATGGTGCCATATGTGATTTCAGATGCCAACGGCATGCGAGGATGAGGTGGCAGGTTTGCCAGAGCAGGAATGGGGGAGCATGGACAGCCAGCAGAAGGAGATCTCCAGGATGGCGATGAAGGGGAATTACGATGAGGCTGGAGTCTTCCTTGGTGAGGATTGGTCTCTTCTCACGTGTCAGACATGTTGTCATCCCCTGCGCTGGCTCCAGTTTACTGCTGTGTGTAGGCTGCTGTGTTGTCCAAGTGTTCAGAGGAGAGAAGGCAGTGTGGGGTGATGCCTTTACACTTTTCAGGTGCTCCTTGGTTGTGGGTGACAGCCGTGCCTTGTGCTCACCCTGCACATCCGAAGGACACCAGCAGTGCTGTCTGGGGCTCTTCAGACACCAGGAGATGGTCCTCTGTCAGCCCCAGCTTACCTGTGGGCGCAGAGGAGAGCCCTCCTCATGTGCTCAGGGCAGTGTGTGGTGGGGATTTTGGGTGATGTGCCCATGCTGTGTTGTGCAGCCTCCGTTCATGCACCATTTTTTGCCAGGACAAGGGCTGTACATCTGCTACCCTGTAGGGTTTTGCTGCAGCCAGTCCTAGATTTTAACACTTACTACCTTTGACTGAAATTTTAAAGGCTATGCGCCCGACAGTCACCTCTTCTTGGGGCAACTGAAATCACTTGCATGGTTGGGCTGACACCAGCCTGCTTGTTCAGATGGCATTGGGAAGTCAGAGCAGCTGCTCTGGGAATCCAGGACCCCTCCAGGCACCCCACAGCTCCCAGTGTGTGAGAACAGCCTTTTATTGAGGGGAACTGGTGCTGGTCACCACCATCAGTGGTTCATACCACCAACTCCTCCTTCCAGGGCCTGCAGATGACAGCTCCAAACCCACTCTGCTGCTGCCAGCCGAGGATAGGGAGGATCCGGGTGCGAGGACCCAGGGGCTGCCGGATGAGGGATCAATGCTGGGGCACCTCGGCTGCAGTGAGTTACAGCCACGAAGGCTGAGAGCGCACAACAGGGACACAGCAGGGCTAGGCAGTGTCGGCACTGGGTACACTGCTCCAGTGCTGCCCGCACACTGCCACTGGCTGCCTACAAAGTGAGGGGCATGGGGCCTGCCTGTTGCTCCCACTAGAGATGGGGCCAGCGAAGCCCGGCATGTCCCTGCAGGGAGCGTTTCCAGTTTTGCATGGGGTCAGAAGGTGCTGGGAATTTAAGTCATGTGACTGGGGCTTCCTTAACACTTTTAAGACCAAATGTTTAAGCCCAGAAGAGCCCCCTTGCCAGAATGAATAGAAAATGATGCCACATCCCAGGAAGTGATGCCTCATCTGTGGCAGTGTTCAAGTCCAGGTTGGACAGGGCTTGGAGCAACCTGGTCTAGTGGAAGGTGTCCCTGCCTGTGGCAGGGGTTGGAACTGGATGAGCTTTAAGGTCCTTTCCAACCAAAACCATTCTATGATTCTACGATTCCACGAAGATAGGGAGACCTGGGCAAGGCTTGGTATGAGGGTGTCTCTGTGGCTGTTTGCCTGCAGATGGACTCTCCCTGCTGCTCCTGAAAGGTTTTGCTTTGCCCCTTTTCCCCAGATTCACCCACCTGAACTCTGCCATTCCTGACAAAACTCCTTCCAGGACAGAGTACTCTGCAGCCTCCACTTTGCCTTCCCATTTCCTCTGTTTTGGTTTATTTATTTATTGCTTTGTCAGTCCACCAAATGTCCCTGAAGTTCAATGGGATACCCTGATAACCCCTAAGAGGTGCCAGCACCCTCTCCACCACCTCATATGTCCTTCTCTGACTTTGCTCTTGGTAAAACCTTCCCATTACACTTCTCATGGCACCCTTGCTGGTTCATCTTGGTGATGTGCTTGCAGGGAGGCGCAGCTCCTGCTCCTGGAACTGTGAGCATGGGAGAGCTTTCCTTTCCAGGAATGAATTGCTGTCTCTTGGCAGGTGAGAACATCGTGATCAAGACAGAAGAGCAGCAGCCCCAGGAGGAAGGACCACAAGTCCTGGCTCTGCCAGAGGCACCCTCACTGAGGCTGGAAGAGGAGGTTCCCCTGAGCCAGGAGCAGCCGGTGCCCTGGGAGCACCATGCTGCCATGGATGGGCAGAAGGCAGAAGGATCAGGCTTAGGGGACTTCTGCACACACGAAACCACCACCCAGCTTGAATTTAAGCCCGTGGTGGTGCCGGTAGAAGCTCACCCTGCCCCAGGCTTGCCCTTCCCAACAGAGCATGTGCTTGGTGTGGGGAATGAGCAGCCATTTGCCCTGTCCCAGGGCATGCCGCTGGGAGCAGAAAGCAGCGCAGAGGTGGCTTCATCGCAGCTCAGCTCGGAAGAGCATCGTCCTTGCGCCGAGGGGGAAGAGCCCTGCGCGCTTCCGCTGGGCTGGAAGAGCGCCCGGCTGAAGCGCAACCTCCTGGCACGGCAGCAGAGCAAGGTGAAGAAGAGCAATGGCTCCTTTATCTGCACAGCCTGTGGGAAGAGCCTGGCCCATCACGCTGCACTGCTGAGGCATCAGCGTCTGCACACGGGTGAGCGCCCCTTCCAGTGCCCAGCCTGTGGGAAGAGCTTCAACGAGAAGTCCAACCTCAACAAGCACTACCGCATCCACACCGGGGAGCGCCCCTACCGCTGCCCTGCCTGTGGCAAGGGCTTCATCCAGAAGCACCACCTCCAGAAGCACCAGCGCATCCATGGGGTGCAGCTGCGGGGTGGCTGGGCAGGCCGGGCCCCACGGGCCAGCGCTGCCGGGGAGCGGCTCTACCGCTGCATCGAGTGTGCCGAGAGCTTCCCCCAGAAAGTCTCACTGGAGGAGCACCAGCGCCGGCACACGCAGCAGCGGCCCTTCCAGTGCAGCGGCTGCACCAAGAGTTTCCGGCACCGGCAGTCTCTGAACCACCACCAGAAGATCCATGCCGTGTCCAGCTCTCCTGCCGTCAACTTGCCAAGCCACAACAAGGAGCTGGAGACCAGCCCCTGTGCCGCTTTGACCCAGGATAATCGGTAGCGTGAGGGGTGCACAAGGGAAGGGGCAGCGTTTTGTTTCTCCGGGCTGCTCCGCAGAGGTGCGGCAGCCTCCGACAATGGAACACACGAGGTGGCTGGTGTCACACCACTGTCGGGGCTGTCCACAACACTGTGGGGCTGGTGGTACCACCAGGGGGCTCTGCACTGCGTGGGGCTCCAGGAGGAGGAGGAAGGAGGAAGGCTGAAGTGCTCTGCAGGCAGCAAAACATGCAGGGGATAAAGAGACTGGCCTGAAGCAGTGGAGGAGGTTCTGGGATCCGGAGCTGAGCTGGGTTGTGCCGCTGCCCTGTGATGAGGGATCTGTCTGAGAAGGAGCCATGTTGGGCACTGCGAGGTGGTTGAACTCATCTATTGAACACCACCAGCGTGGCGGGGGTGCAGGGTAGAGACTGGTCAGCAGCTGGGGAGGAGACACAGATAAAAAACTGGGCTGATGTGGTGGTCTCCTGGTGCACTCTGGGCTGCTGGGGCAGGGAGAGGGCACCTGTGGGTACATGGCCCATGAGTTGTAACTCACACCTTGACCATGGTTGCAGTCGGGTGTACGGCTCCTGCTCTGCCACCCTGCCACTTCCAATTGCTTGCTCTGGTGGGGGGAAGACCCTGGCTATCACCCTGGTGTCAGGCACCCTGAGGATGGTTCTCTGCAGTTCATACAAACCAGTAGCCCAAGTGCAACTGTGCCCTGGGCTCCACGTCAGGACCTGGGCAGCTGCTTCCTTCTTAGACAGGAAGGGAGGAATCTGAAGCTGCCCCATGTTAATGCAGAGCTGCCTGATGGGAATGTGGAGTTGCCAGTCACAGCCTGTTCTGGGGATATGGGCCCCATGGCAATTCCTGGAGTACTGAGGGATACCTCTGTCCTGCCTGCAGCCCTGCCTGTGGCAGTCAGGGCCACTCCATTGCCTGTCCTTTCCCAGTCCCTTTGGGTACTCAATCTCCCACATTCCAAAGGCTCAACCTTCCTGGTCAGAGTCCTGAGGCAGTGCTTGTGTCCCCTTGCTTTGGCCCCCACACAGCATGGCACCTACATCCACTGAGGGCATCCCCATGGCTTTGGTGGCCATTTCAAGTACTAGCAGAGCCCTGGAGCTTGGGGGGAGGGCCTGGGCTGCCAGGGGGCAGGATCCTGCCCCTCTGCTGGGCCCTGGGGCACAAACCAGGTTGCTGGGTCCAGCACAAGGGACAGGGGTAAACCGGGGAGTGTCCAGCAAGGACTGGGACAGTGGCAAAGGACCAGTGTCCCCTGCAGTGGTGGCTCACGGGCTCCTCAGTGTGATGAGAAGGGAGCAGAGGCTGTGATCCTTTATGATCCTGCTGCCCTAGGCACAGCCCTGCTTTTTGGGCTCTCCCAGCCCCACTGCACAGCTGCAGTGGCAGATGACAGCCCTGTGCCTTCCCCATACATTCACCCTTGGGACATTGCCTGGGATCTTGGCCAGCCACCATACACAAAAGGGGGTGATGGAGCTCTAGTGATGACTCCCAGGCTCCCTTTTGCCTCACTCTGCCCAGGCCAAGCCAGGTTACTCCCGCACCAGCCATGCACAGGGGTGCCATGCACATCAGGCAGACATACAGACAAATACTTTATTGATTCCATAGCCTGAGAAAAGGGTCTGGGATTTCATAGGAAATGCTGGTCCCAATCATGACGGCTTCAAAGGAAAAGCGCTAGCCAGGGCAGTTGGCCAGAGGGAGAGGCTGGCCCCTCCATGCCGCTTGTGCGGGCCTCGGAGGCATCACCCACCAGCAAAACCATGACACGTCATTGGAACCTACATGGGAGCTCTACCCAGGAAGGGATAACCAGTGCTGTCACTACCACACACACCACTGCTCCAGACTCATCACCACACTACCATGAAGCATCAATGGCCCTGGTATCCTGCAGTGCTCTGCTGCAGGAAGCCCCAGCCCTTCGAGGCACCATCACCCCCTCATGGCAAACACTGCATCCAGGCACTGCAATGCCAGGAGACAGGAACTGAGTGAGAAACCATCCCAGAGGAGCAGTGGGAAGTCTTGTGTGTCCCCAGGGAGCAGCAATGACACTGCCACGTCTCCCGCAGGAGTCGCCAGGAATGAGAAATGGGATAAAAGCAGAGTGCTTTTCCATGCAACCTGCATGGAGGAGTACGCAGACTTGGGGGTGTCAAATAATTACATCAAGCAATGAAGAAAGAAAACAATCCTGAACAGAAAAACTAAAGAGTCTCAGCAGCTCCTCTGGGCTGCATGGTGCTACCTTGCTCTGTACATGGTCTAGTGTGAGGTGTCCCTGCCCATGGCAAGGGATTGGAACTAGATGATCTTAAGGTCCTTTCCAACCCAAACCATTCTATGATTCCATGATTCTGTGGCTGCTGGGCCTGCCTTCCGTCGCTTACCAGGCTTCCATTACCTGCCTGCCTCAGGGCAGGCCTCGCTCCATAAGCCATTTGAGGTAGCAGAACTAGTCCTCCATGGGATTAGTTACAGTGGGATTTTGCACGTGACTAAAGGAGACAACGTGCAGTTTGGAGAGCAAGGGCTTCCTTCTTTCTGCAGTGGGACTAGGCAACAGCCAGTGCTGATGTGTGGCAGCTGCCACGAGGTGAGGGTTCTTTGCATGGAGTGCTGTAGTGCTGCAGGAGTCACCTTACCTGTGAAGTGCACATATGCAGGCTCATCCTGAGAGGACTGACACTCACAGGCTCCTGCAGGCTGGCATTGTTGCCAGAAGGGGTGTTGCTGGAACCTTGAAATCACCTGCAGCACCCTCACAGGCGGAAAATGTTATGCTGTGATTTGTTCTATGGATCTTCCAATGCAGATTTTGGCACCAGGGTGGGGTATCAGCCAAGTACGGCCAGTATACACTGGGGTCTTGGAGATGCCACACTCTCTTCATCCAGTGTCCTGGTCAACACACTTTGTCAGTGAAGCATTCTTTGGGAATCTTGCCTGGCTCACTGGCTTGATTCCCTTCCCTCTGTCCTCTTCACCACGTCACTGTGTTTCCACACACAAGGGGCCATCAAGTAACGGGTGATCAGCTGCTGTTTGCAGTTCCTCTCTCTGGCTGCAGTAGATGTAGCTGATGATTCCCCAGAAAGGTCTGCTTGGGAAAACTTGGGGCAAAAGCCAGTAGACACAAGAGTCTGAGGAATGGCAAAGTGGTTTGGATCACTGGAGGCTTCTGTAATTTGCTGCTTATGATACCTCCAAGCTTATGGTTCCTTCTGCAATTCAGGAAAGCTCCTAAAATCCAATGGACAGATGGTTCACAATCCCAGTGTCTCGCTATGTGCAATATCAGTGCTCATGCAGTTCCTCTCTGAGGTCACGAGCAGTTTGGCTCTGCCCATTATCATTTCTCCATCAGCTTTGAAACTACTGCCCTGTTCCCCAGCCTAACCACAGGCTGGACGCCCTGCCCAGCCCAGCCATGGGAGCTCACGTCCAGCCTGAGGTCTGCCAGGCCGAGTGGGAGCACGTTTGCTGGTACAGCTTTGGCTGGAGGGCTCGTGTTCCTCTTGGATGCCTCAGCTAGCGAGTGAGGAACACTCCTGGTCATGGGCACCTCTGGGGTTTCTTGCGGCTGGGGCTGCTGGAACACTGGCACACTCTGCTGGACCACAACCACAGCCGCCTGGCGCTTGTGTATCTTCTCGTGGCGCAAGAGGTGGGTTTTGCGGGTGAAACACTTCTTGCAGGTGGAGCAGCAGTACGGCCTCTCCTGTGTGTGGGTCTGCAGGTGCCGATGGAGGTTATAGGTGCAAGAGAAGATCCTTTTGCAAAGGTTGCATTTCATTACAGGCTTCTTCTGAGCCTTAGGGGTCTGCTGCCGGGAGAAACATGTGCTGGACAGGCTCGGGCTGTCCACCTCCTCCTTGGGCTGGGCCAGCCAGGGCCCTCCCCCTGCATAGGTCCTACTGGGCAGGCTGCGGGCATCTCTGCAGAGAGCCCCACAGAACTTCCCCCTGGGCCGGATCCTCAGCTCGGGGTGGACATTCCCCCAGACCTTGGCACCAAAGGCCCTGTCTTTTATGTGGATGCTCTGGTGAAGGTCGAGATGGCGTTTGTCCGTGAAGCTGATCTCACACACGGCGCACTCGTAGGGCCCCTCTTTGGCGTGGCTCCGCTGGTGAATGATGAGGTTGATCTTCAGGCGGAAGCGCTTCCCACACTCAGTGCAGGGGTGTGACCACTCGCGCACGTAGCCGCGCCGGCAGTTGCCCATCAGCAGGCTGCTTCTCTCGCACCGGCTCGGCTTCTTCTTGCTCCTGGCCTTGCCCTGCTCACTTTTGGGGCCGTTGGGGAAAGCCGTGCTGGAAGAGGCTGCAGAAACCCCTTGTAGCACCGCAGGCTCCTCTTCCTTCACCTTGACGTTTTTAGGAGAAGCTTTGTCCCGTGCCGTTTCTTTTTCTGTTAATAAACCTTCCTCTGAAACAGAACACACGCATTGGTGATTCACACTCCCCAGACAAACCCAGGTTAAGTTCCAAAGCACTGAGCAGGTTTTTAGATATCCGGGAGCTACCACCAACTGTGAGAACAGAGTTTGTAAGGGCACAAGTGGTGCCACCACAACGTTCTGAGCCACTCAGTGTGGTCTCAGGGGGTCCCAGGAAGAACCAGGCAGTGGTCTGCTGCCATGCCAGCACAGGCATCTGCCTCCAAAATCATAACACCAGTGACAGCCACAAGATGTAGCAGGAAAGAAGGTCACTGAAGAATTGACAGCCTGCAGTACTATGAGATCTTCACTTCTGTGGAGCTTGGGTCTGCCAGCAAACCCCAAATGTTGTGGCCAAACCAGCCCTCCTTGTGAGGCTATTGCAAACTACCCACCTCCCCAGCAGCCCAGCCACTGAGCTGGCATGAGCCATTCCCAGAACCAGTGTCAGAAACAGGTTCCGAGCCCGTGACAAGGGAAGTGCTCTGTGTATTAGCTTGGCAAAGCTTCAGGACCAGAACAGAGGGTGTCTGCACACAGCCACCCTGCTTCCTGCACCCCCTGCTCCCAGCATGGAGAACTGGGCCATGCCACAGGAAGCTCAAGGCCAACTCTAAGACAGCACAGCAGAGCTGGAGGAAGGAAGTGTGCTACCACTGCCAGCTCTCCCTCAGTTTCTGATAGAAGGAACTGCAACCAGTCCGTAGCTCTTTCCACACACATGATGGGGCTGAAATGGCCAACGCCAGTCGCCTGCCTTGCTCAGTGATCAAAGGGAGGCTTGAAACGTTCTTTTCCCTCCCCATTTCCAGCACATTAGTGAGTTGGGAGCTGCTTCCTGCCCGCATCACCCTGTGTCTCCCCAGCCTAGAGTTACTCACTGGTGCTGGGCTCAGCCAGGTTCTCTCCCATCTCCGGTTCTGGCCGATTTTCACTCCGCAGCTGTTTTTTCTGTGCACTCAGGGACATAACGTTCATCACCAGGATGGGGAGTTCTGCTGCAAAAAAGAGAAATTGTAAAGACCCATGAAGAGCTCCCATCTTTCTGCTTTGGTGGGACACTCTGTTGGGAGCATGGAGAAGAGACAGAAAGCTGCAGCTCGAGAAGCCATGACATGTTTTAGCAGGGGAAGTTTAGGTTGGATATTAGGAACATTTTCTTCATCAAAGGTTTATCTAGCATTGGAACAAGCTGCCAAGGATGTGGGGGAATCAACATCCCTGGTGGTATTTACAGGACTTGTAAACATAGTGCTTTAGGGACGTGGGTTTGCAGTAGACTCAGCAGTGCTGGGTTAACGGTTGGACTCAATGATCTTAAAGGGCTTTTCCAATCCAAACAATTCTGTGATTCTATGGAAAGCACGTGAGGTGTTGGAAGGAACAGGAGTGAAGCCACGCACAAGGACCAGAAGCAGAGGGAGGACTGGGAGGAGAGAAACCGAGGCGCTATGTGCTGTCACCTCTGGAGGGCAGCTTCATCCCTCCTAAACCCTTCCTCATCAATTCCACGGGTAGCATTCCCACATTCCCTTGGGTTCAGTGCCTTGAATCCTTTCTGCTTTCCATGGCAGCACCTTGACAACACACCCCAAGGCTTCTCGCTTTCCCTGCTGATGCTCTTTTTAAGCACAATGACCTGATGTGTCCTCTCCAACAGACCTGCTGGGAGCCCTCCTGAAAGCTGGGACAGGAACAGCCCAGGGAAACACATCCCACTGGCACCCACCAAACTCACCTCTGTTACCTTCCACGGGGTCTTTATCTTTTCCCAAAGCCTTTTTCACCTGGTTCATCTCTTCTGGTGTCTGCCGGGGCTTCTGACCATCTGTAATGCCTGTCTGAGGAGCCTTCTGCCTGGCTTTACTGCGTGTCTGTCGGGGCTCATCACCCACCTTGGCACGTCTACGTGGGAGCTTTGGGACATCTTTGGCAGGGACCTCTTCATTCCTCTCGATCTGGGAGGGGACGTCAGGCTTGGACACCGTATTCTCTGCTCAGGGGGCAAAGGACAGTGTGTCTTATTAGGAACTGGCTGCACTTTTATCCTGTCAAATTCCAGAAGCAATGCTTCTCTCCCTACCCCTGGAGCTGGCAGGAAGTGCAGGTGACTGAGCAGAGTTACTGAGAAGATCTTCAGTAAGAGAACATGAAGATCTCCAAGGAGAGGGGAAGCCTCTCTCTAGGCAACATCTTTTTTCTCTCTTCCTGGGAGCACTTGACAAACCAACCCCCAAAGACACACCTGGGGCTCGTATCGCTTCTGGTAGTGCTCTCCAAAGGATGGAGCCTGCCCTTTGTCCCTCATCAGCACTCACCTGGCCTCTCCTGGGGCTTCTTTCACTCCCAGCTCATCAGTCCTGCAGGAATGAGCTCTCCATCAATCACAGCTCTACCCACATGTCTCCTCTTCTGGCTCTGCCAGAGCCTGCCCATCCCTTTCCAGCCTTCACACTGAACAATTGATTTTCCGGCTCTCCCATGCCATGCCACCCAGCTCTCCTCACTTCTGCTCCCCGACAGCACTAGCAGGGCTGCTCCAGCCTCTTCCTCTGTCGTGGTTTAAGCCCAGCTGGTAACTCAGAACCACACAACCGCTCGCTCACTCCCCCCCCTCCCCCTCCCCAACATTCTTCCTCTCCCTGTTCCTGAAGGGATGGGGAGGAGAATCGAAAGAATGTAATCCCATGGGTTGAGGTAAGAGCAGTCCAGTAACTAAGGTATAACACAAACCACTGCTGCTGCCACCAACAATAATAATGGTAAGGGAAATAACAAGGGAAGAGAATACAACTGCTCACCACCCACTGACCGATACCCAGCCTGACTGAGCAGTGTTCTGTCCCTTCCGGGTAACTGCTCCCGGTTCTACCTCCTGGGCATGACGTGATGTGGTATGGAATACCTCTTTGGCTAGTTTGGGTCAGGTGTCTTGTCTCTGCTTCCTCCCGGCTTCCCCTCCTCCCTGGCAGAGCATGAGAATCAGAAAGTCCTTGGTCAGAGTAAACATTACCGAGCAACAGCTAAAAACATCGGTGTTATCAGCGCTGTTCCCAGGCTGAAAGTCAAAAACGCAGCACTGCACCAGCTACTAAGAAGGAGAAAAATGACTGCTACTGCTGAACCCAGGACACTGCAGGTTCCCAGACTCCTCCCTTCCAATTGTGTCTCCTCCCTCACCAAGGCAAGGAGGAGCATTTTTGGAAGCCCAAGGTTCATGCGTGCAATCAGGTGAAGGAGGATTTCTGAACTGCATGAAAACAGGACTGGAAGGGATCACAAGACCCAGGTCCCTCCACTCCAAGCTCCATCCCAGCCTCTCCCAACAGGCTTTGTCTGTTTTTCTCATGGGATTCATCTGACTGAGCATAAATATTCCTCATAAAGCTGACACAGGAAGCTCCATGTCTTCCTGGCACCACCTCACTCACTTTTGTTAGCTTCCATGGGAACTTCATCTTCTTCCAAAGCCTCTTCCACCTGGTCATCCTCCTCTGGTGCCTGTGGGGGCTCCTGATCCTCTCTGATACATGTCTGTGGGGACTCCTGGCTGTCTTTGGTGCAGAGGTCTTCACCCCTCTCGATCCGGCAGAGGATGTCAGGCTTGGACACGGCATAGTCTGCTCAAGGGGCAGAGGATAGTGTGTTTTGTTGGGAACTGCCTGCACCTCTATTCCATCAAGCTCCCAACCATTTCCAGGCAATCCTTCTCTTCCTAACACCAGATGATGCAGAAAGGAAGTGCTGTGTTCTTGCCCTGTGGCAGGACCCACCTTTGAGCACAGCTGGAGCTCAGCTACAGAGAAGCTCTTAAGTACAGAACATGAACTAAAATCTCAAGTAGTGGGAAAGGCTTTGTCTTGAACATTTCCTCCCATTCCAACTCTTAACAGTGACTTCAAGAGCAATTCTTGAGCTACCCATCTGGTGTCAGGACAGAAAATCTCTCAGCCCAAGTCATCCAAGAACATGCTGGATGTCCTTACAAAGACCGAGCACCGTTAGGCTGGTTCTTCATGAAGGCAGATGGAAACCTCCCTGCCACTTTACAGCGGGGCTGAACACACTGAACACACGAACTGGTTCAAGATGCAATTATGAGATTTCACCCAAATAATTCCTGCACTGTGCTGGAAGCTCACAATGCTTCCTTGACCCTGGAAACCCATTTGCATTGGGTTTCCATTGGAAACATCATCTCACATAGATTATTTTTTTTTCAGTAGATATTGTTTGTATTATTATTGCTACTATTATTTCTGACAGACAGTTCCTGATAGAATGGTTTGGGTTTGAAAAGATGTTAAGATCATTCAGTTCCAAACCCCGTGCCATCTGCAAGAATGCCTCACACGAGGCCATATCGCCCAAGACTCTGGACCCCGTCCATTCTTGAAAAGCAGGAGGGAGGGGAAACAGGTGGGTTTGACAGCTCAGGACAAGCTCTGCTCCCTACAGGCTGTGGCAAGCAACATCCAGCCCATCCCGTGTACCTTACCCAGGGAGATCAGTGTCTCGTAGTTGCCCCTCATCACAGCCCTGTACAGATCCTTCTGCCAACAGTCCAGTCGCTCCCACTCCTGCTCGTTGAAGTACACTGAAATGTCATCGAACGTCAGTGGCACCTGGAATCACAAGGATCACACACTCAGCGACTTCCAATGTCATTAAATAACTGGAAACCCACAACCGCACTGGAAACCCCTGTGTGGCTGGCTTGGCTTTGGCTGCTGGAGCTCAGCGTGCCCAACCACATCAGGGCTGCTGCTCCCCGAGTCCAGGACTCCCAGGCGCTCAGCCTGGATCACTCCAGTGTTTCCTAACCCCCCTGCGCAAGCTCAGCAGGTGCTCCCAGGGGCCAGGCTGGACACCGTTACCTTGGGGATCTCACCCCGGGAACCGGGGGGCAGCCGCAGGATCCAGAAGTTCCTGTTCTTAAGGAGGTTCTCCACATTGTCGAGCCGCTGCTGGAGCTGCCCATAGTCCTGCAGGAGGCTGCCCAGGGCTGCCAGGTTGCTGCGCATCTCCCCGACCAGGTTCTCGCAGGCCAGCAGCCTCCGTTCTGCCCTCTCCGTCCGGCTCCACAGCTCCTGCAGCTGCTGGGCCCCCGCCTGCCCTGCCGCAGCCCGTGGCCCCATGGCCTGCACTGCCTTCTGCTGCTGGGCACCCAGGTCCCAAGGGAGAAATGGGAACTGAAAGGGGAGGCCCTGCCCTGGCCAAAGGGCAGTCAGGGCCTGGAAACCCACCGGTGGTGCCCCCCCTCAAGGGACTCCTCATCCCCACCTTCCCCGGGGGACCTGTCATCCCCTGACTGCGCCCCCACACACTCCCAGGCCCAGTACCCCTGAGGGACAACCCCAACAGGACCTCCCCAGCCCCAAATCCCGCAGTACTGGCACCCCTGCGGGATCCCCAGCCCCACCTCCCCATGAACTGCCTCCCCTGGGACCCCTCCCTCATCCCAGGACCAGCACCCCTGAGGGACCACCCTTCCAGCCCCCCTCCCCTGGGACCGGCCCCCTGGCCCCAGGCTGTGTGGCCGCGGGTCCGGCCTGGCGCTGGGCCCGGGCAGACCCGTCCCGCGGTACCCCGCGTTCCCGGCGCCCGACCCCGGCCCGGCGCGGCGCGGCCCTCACCTGAGCGGAGCCCCGGCGGGACATGGCGCTCCGGACCGGACCCGCGCGCCCTGCGGCAGCGGCTGGCCGCCAGGAAGCACCGCCTGAAGGGGCGGGGCCCCGCGGCGTGAGAGCGCCCCCTTGCGGCCGGGAGGAGAAGGAGGCGGCGGGATGGAGGGGGCGGGCTGTGACTCCGGGGGGCGGTGGGACGAAGGGGGCGACCCCAGTGCCACCGAGGCACGGACCGCACCCACTGTCCCTGTGCCCCGGTGCCACCGGTCCCCTGCGCTCCACGGGCTCCCTGGCACTCCCCGTGCCACCGGGACCCGGTGCAACAGACCTCACGCACCCTATAGGATGTTCAGGACCCCCAGCACCGTCGACCCCACAGGCTGTGCCAATCCCCCGGTGCCCCTGAACCCCGAAACTCTCGGTGCCACCGAACCCCGCACCTCATTGACTGTCCCGGTGCCATGGACCGCCGGTGCCACCGACGCCCCGCACTCCACAGGCTCCCCCGGCACGCCCGGTATCACCGGCCCCAGGACCCTGTAGACTCTCCCGGTCCCCCGGTGCCACCCATCCCGCACGCCACGGTCTGCCCCGCACCAGCCGGTGCCACCGAGCCCCGGACCCCATTGGCTGTCCCAGTGTCACCGAGCCCAGCCCCACACCTCCCTCCGGACGTCCCGTGCCAAGCCGGTCCCTCGGTGCCGCCGCACCCCCTGCTCCGGGGACAGGATGAGCCCCGGCACCGGCGCTGCCCCACCTGGGGGGGTGGGAGGTGGAGGGAGGGAGGGAGCGGAGGCACCTGCCCGGGGCTTCTGCACCGCGGTCCCGCTCCGAGCCGGGCCGGGGGAGGAGCCGGGAGGGGAAAGCCGGGAGCGGGGAGTGGGAAGCGGGGCTGCTCCGCCGCTGGTTGCCGTCCGGGAGCGGGCACCGGAGCAGCCCCCCGAGTCATGGCCGCGCCTCGGCAGGTAGGACCGGGAGAGCACCGTGCGGGGAGCATCGGGATGGGGAGAGCACCAGGGAGAGGACAGCACCGGGAAGGGGAGGGCACTGACATGGGGAGAACAGCAGGATGGGGGAACGCTGGGATTGGCAGAGGATCCTACATAGGGAGCACTAGGGAGGGGAGCACTGGGAGACGGGGAGATCACTGGAAAATTGGGAGATCAGGACTGGGAGATCACTGGGATGGGGAGAGAACTGGTATAAGGGTAACACCGGTATAAGGGGAGCACCAGGATGGGGAGCAAGAGGATGGGGAGAGCTCCAGCATGGGGAGCAGTCGAATGGTGGGGAGCAGCAGGATGGTGGGGAGCAACAAGATGGTGTGGAGCAGCAAGATGGGGAGCAGTGGGATGGGGAGCAACAGGATGAGGAGCAGGGGGATGGGAAGCAAGGGGGCAGTGAAGAGCAGAGGGATGAGGAGGAGCTGGGTGGGGAGCAGCAGGATGTGGGAGCAGTAGGGATGGGGAGCAACATGGTGAGGAGCAGTGGGATGGGGAGCAACAGGATGAGGAGCAGGGGGATGGGGAGCAGGAGGATAGTTAAGAGCAGAGGGATGGGGAGCAGTGGAATGGGGAGGAGCTGGATGGGGAGCAGCATGATGAGGGGAGCAACAGGATGTGGAGCAGTGGAATGGGGAGGAGCTGGATGGGCAGCAGCAGGATGTGGGAGTAGTGGGATGGGGGTAGTAACAGGATGAGGAGCAGCAGGATGGTGGAGAGCACAGGAATGGGGAGCAGCGGGATGGGTAGCAGCACTATGCAGGGAGCAACAGGGTGGGGAGCAGTGGGATGGGGAGGAGCACTGGGGTGAGGAGCAGCGGGATGTGGGAACACCACTGGAACAGTTTTTGGAGAGGATCCAGCTGGCAGCACAGGGCTGGGGTGCTGCCTGTCCTGCCCTGTCCTGCCCTGCCGTGTCCTGTCCCATCCCATCCTGGAGGTCACTGTCCCACCAAGGTGGTTGCAGGCACAGCAGAAGTAGGGCCAAGGGTCATGGGGTACTGCTGGTCTGGCTGCTGTTGTGGGCAAATGGGGCTCATCTGCAGGCTTGGTGGTGCCAGGTGGGATTCAGGGGCTGGTCAGTGCCAAAGCTGCTCCCCACACATCCATGGAGCTCCAGGGGATCCTTGTCTTGGCAAATCCTCACACATCTGGTTCCAGCGGGACAGGTACTGTGACACGGAGCTGGCAACAACCATTGCATGTGTTGGGCCCCTGACCAGCCGGCGCAGGGAGGGAAAGGTTGGACAAAGTGATCCCTGCTGCAAATACCAGGGTGCCAGGGCAGGTTACCCCATGGGCTCCCTGACAAGCGGAAAGCACACAGGGACCTGTCAGCCAGCATGATGGGAAGTGTGCCGGGAGCGTGCCAGGAGCATGCTGGGAAGCCCTTGCCTCCGTGCCCAAGTGGGATGGGTGCAAGAGCCCTTTCCCAGGCGTATGCCCGCCCCGGAGCGCAGTGTGGCTGCTCGCGCTCACCATCCCTGCACACCCAGACACATTTGGGGTCCTGCTGCTGCTCGGTGTGGCTCTGTGGTTTATTCCCTGCTCTGCCCCCCTGGCAGGAAGAGGGCTGGGACCCCCCAGTCGCATCCGCGCAGGCACCGGTGACATTCGAGGACGTGGCAGTGCGGTTCTCAGCAGAGGAGTGGGAGCTGCTGGAGGAATGGCAGCGGGAGCTGCACCGGGAGGTGACAGAGGGGACATCCCAGCTGCTGGCATCCCTCGGTAGGGCCCTGCCCAGCGCTGGTCCCAGCCAGAGCAGGGACAGTGTGCGGGTCCCACTCATCTGGCCAAGGAGAGCTCAGTGTGGGGGCTGCCTTGCCTGACCCCCACCTGCCCTGTCCCCAGGGCCCCCCAGCAGCCCGGCCCTCGCTGCCCTGGTGCGGCTGGTGAAGGAGATCCCCGAGTTTCTCTTCGGTGGCCCCAGGGCTGATGTGGAGCCGGGTGCCACCACCAGCGGGAACACTGAGCGGATGGGCGTCAATGGTGAGCACTGGGGCTGTGCAGGTGGGTGACAGGCTAGTCCTGCCCCAGTGGGCACCAGGGACACAGGGGCTCTGCCCTGGCGCCTGGCAGGGTGTGAGGGTGAAGGTGTGAGGGTGCTGGAGGTGAAGCTACCTCACAGACCCCACCAGCGCTGGCTCCACCACTGGGGTTCCAGGGAGCCAAGTGCTAAGCTGCACCCCTGGCTGTGCCCTGGGCAGAAGGTCCTGGCGTTGGATTCCCAGGAGCATCCAGCCCTGAGCAGGGCTTTCTCCTGATGCTGGCACTGGCATTGCTGCAGAGCAGGGGTCTCCCTTGGAGTAGCCCCTCACCAGACCCGATCACCACAGCTGGGCCGTGTGGTGGAACCAAGGACGCCAGCTTGGGGATGAGGGGCTGCAGACGTCTGGTACTGAGGGTCTGGGCATCCTACAAGCCCCAATGCGGTGTGTCCAGGGCTGTCCTCCCACTGCTGGGGATGCCAGGGGCTGGAATTTGCTTTCACAGTTACAATGGAGATGCCATCTGAGAGCTGCCCGCTCCGCAGCCTGGAGAGGTGCCTGGAGGAGCTGGTGGGGAGAGGGTCTGGCCCCTCTGTTCCCCCAGCAAGCAGCCTCTATGGCCCCACTGAGAGGCATCAGGAAGAGCCGGGTGGCCACCAGCCTCTGTGTGAGAGGCGCTCACTCAGAGGTGTGGCATGACATGGCATTGTGCCCATGCTTTGGCATGGCATGGTGTTGTACCATGCAGCATGGCATGGCACTGAGCGCACACCACAGCACAGCATGGCACGGTACAATGTGCACAGCATGGTATGTGGCATAGCATGGCACGGCACCTTGCGGTATGGCCTGGCATGGCACAGCATGGCAGAGCATGGCACAGCATGGCGTGACAGGGCTCGGTGCTGGTTTCCAGCATCTGCACTGGCAATGGGATGGAGCTGCCTGGACCCCCGTGCTCGGGGGTTCAGATACCACTGGATGTCCCTCATGGGTGAGTGGCAGGGATGTGCTCTGCGCCCGGGAGTGATGGCATGCCTTGGGCTGCAGGGAGGGCTCAGCCATGGTCAGCCAGTCCCATAGGTCCTTGCCCTGAGCGTGTCCCGCAGGCCCCTCATAAGCCCTGGCACCGGCAGCTGCTGCCCGTTGCTGCCCGCAGGCTGGGGATGGTGCCGGGTGCCCCGTCACCGCGTCCAGCATCTCCTCCACCAGCACCACTGCTGGGGAGGCAGCGCCCTGCGACATGGGCTGGAACAGGGGGCTCTGCCGCAGCCCCATGCTGATGGCTGGTGAGGGCTTGGGGGGGCCCTGGGGGTCTAGGGGGGATCCTCTCAAAGGGGTCTGGAGGGGATCTTGGGGCATCTCAGGGTGTCCTGGGAGGTCTCAGGTAGGTCCTAGAAGGTCTCAAGGAGTCCCAGTGGGTCCTGGGCAGCCCTGGAGGAAGCAGTGCTGGGGCTGGGGTCCCACAGTGGGACGTGGGGCAGGATTCAGTCCCTGTGGGGCATGTAAGGATGGGGAGGGGAGTGCTGAGTCCCAGTGTCCTGGGTGGGGAATGCTGCCCCTGGGGAGCAGGGGCTTCCCTGTGAGTCTGGGCTCTGGGGGGCTGATCCCTGGCGGGGTCCTCCCAGGAGAGGGACACCCATGTGGGGGTCTGAGCTTTGGGAGAGCATGCCAGGGGGGTCAGGTCCCCAAGGAGCACCCCTGCATCCCCTTGGTGTCTGTTCACTGGGGATCCCCTTGTGCTGGGAGGGGGATGCTGAAGGCCCCTCCACCTCTCTCACCTCGGGGTGATGCCGCAGGGGGCTCACCAGCCGGGAGTGTGGGGCAGAGCCCCCTGTGACAGCTTCAGGAGTGCCTGTGGGGCATCGGCATCCCCGACCCCATCTAAGCCTGGCCAGTCGCTGCCAGTGGCACCAGAGGGGCTGTGGGGACAGGCACCAGGGGCCACAGCCCCACCGCAGCAGGTCAGTGGCAGGGGGCAGTGGCAGGGTCTCAGCTTGTTGGTGTGAGGGGCCAGGGCCTCGGTGGGAGAAGAGGCTGGAACCCCGGGGGGGATGGAACGGCCGTGCTGGGTACATGATCATGGTGGTTCAGGGCTGTGGTGCCATGCAGGGATGACCCCATGGCCCCATGGCCCCCCTCCTGTGTGCCCCGTGGTGCAGAGCAAGGCAATGGCCAGGTCTCAGCATTGCCCTGACCTGGTGTCCCCTTATCCCCTGGGGCTGGGACACACATGGGGCCTTGTGCCAGCGCTGGGAACAGGCAGCCTGACAGGATGGGCAGGTTTTGGGGGCTGACAGGTTGGCTGTGCCACCTCCCAGAGGTGACAGCACCGGCAGTGCCCCCCCAGAGCCCCAGTGAGACCCAAGCATTGCGTGCATCCAGCACCGCCATGCGCAGGGACCCCAACCACGCCAGCGGCACACGGCCACCTGCCACCATGGGGACAGTGACCAAGAGACCCTTGGCCGAAGGTACCGGGGGGCTGAGGCCAGGCTGGGGGTGGCATGGGTGACACAGCTCCAGCACGTGTCCCAGCGGCTGCACCAGGGTGAGCTCGCCCAAGAGGAGTGACCCCAGAGGGAGCCCCCAGCCCCACGGCAGCCCCTCGGCGAGGCTGCGGTTGGCAGTGTCCACGCGCCCATGGTGGTGGAGGAGCTGGAGCAGCTGCACCGGGAGCTGGGCTCAGTGCGCCGGGAGCTCTGCGGTGTGCGGAGCCGCCTGGCGCAGCTGGAGCGGGGCCGGGCGCGGGAGCTGCCTGCTCTCACCCGCGGCCACCGGCACCTCCGCCGTGCCGCCCGGGGCCTGCAGAGCTGCTGCTGGGCGCTGGAGACCCGCTCCCGGCTCCCTCATGGAGCAGGGGGTGCCATCGCCATCAGCTCCCTGCAGACCGAGCTGCTGCCAGCCCTGGCGCAGCCGCAGCTCCACGGCCTGCTCCGCTTTGCCGACACAATGATGCTAATGCGGGCAGCCCACGGGTGGCCCCAGCCCTGCAGCTGGGCCAGTGCCCATCTCGCCATTGTTTCCATTGCCGGTCCCCACCATGCCGGGCCTGCCCTGCTGCCGGCCGGTTTGCCTGGAGGGCGCCTGCCGGCCATGGCCAAGGCCCTGTGGGGCTGTGAGTGAGTTCTGGGGGGTGCCAGATCCTCCCCCGCTGCAGCGGTGCTGAGCCCCTGTGGCACTGTCCTGCAGCCCAGGGGCTGCTCATGGCAGACCAGCCCTGAGTCAGGATGGGGTATCTGGGCCACACCAGAGGGGTAGCCCCGCTCCCAGACACTTGGATTCCAGGCAGGCTCCTCCTGCACCTGGTACTCACTGCTGTGGGGCTTGGCCCTGCCATTCTGCTACCCCCGTGGGTGTCTGTGGTCCGTCCGTGTCCCGTCCCCCCCCGAATTAAACAGTGATTGAACAATGAGCCGCCGGCTCCTCTGCAGCTCCTGTGTCCAGCGGCCCTGGAGGGTGCTGGGGAGGACTGGGAAGTGTCGCACGTCTCATCCCCTGGGGTGCAGGGGACAGGCAGGGCACACTGCTGCCTGCGACCATGGGGGTCCTGCAGCTCGGCCCCCCTGATTCCAGTGTCTCTGCCCATGCTGTGCTCCCCCAGGCACATGGCGCTCATCGGAGCTGAGGGACCGCAACGTGTCCCACCTCCCGTGCCAGGCAGCTTCTTGACCTGGGTGCCCAGGCAGGAGAGGGGCTGCAAGAGCTGCGGAGCTGCTGCTGCCCCTGTGCCAACGCCGAGCCCACCGAGGGGCCTGCGTCACCGCCTGGCACATCAGCGCCAAGCCCTCGCTGCTCAGTGACGTGGTGACCTTTGTGTGTGTCCCCTGGGGCTGACGGTGGCGTGTGTGTGCGTGTGTCCCTGTCACTGTCACCACTGTGCTACACCCCACAGCTCCAGCAACAGCTCCTGGGCATGGACCAGTCAGAGCCAACTGTCCTGTGGTTGCCATTAATCACAGAATCATGGCGCCATTTGGGTGGGAAGGGACCTTGAAGCCCATCCAGTTCCAACCCCCTGCCACAGGCAGGGACACCTTCCACTAGAACAGGTTGCTCCAAGCCCCATCCAACCTGGCCTTGAACACTGCCAGGGATGGGGCAGCCACAGCTTCTCTGGGCAACCTGTGCCAGGGCCTCACCACCCTCACAGGGAAGAACTTCTTCCTCACATCTCATCTCAATCTCCCCTCTGTCAGTTTAAAGCCATTCCCCCTTGTTCTGTCCCTATATGCCCTTGTCAAAAGCCCCTCTCCAGCTTTCTTGTTGGCCCCTTTAGGCACTGGAAGCTGCTCTAAGGTGTCCCTGGAGCCTTCTCTTCTCCAGTCTGAACAAGCCCAGCTCTCTCACCCTGTCTCCATAGCAGAGGTGCTCCAGCCCTTGGAGCATCTTTGTGGCCTACTCTGGACTTGCTCCAGCAGCTCCATGTGCCTTCTTATGTTTTTGCCCCAGATCTGGATGCAGAACTGCAGGGGAGGTCTCACCAGAGCAGAGGAGGAGTCGGCAGTTGCAGTCCCTGCCCAGGACCCTCAATCCCAGCCCGCTGGAGCCCAGCCTGATGCCCAGGGTGTCTGCCCTGGCTGGAGGACACGGCTGCTGCCTTCACCATGTGGGTTCAGCCAAGCTAAGGTCATGTTCCAGACGTACACAGACAGGACACAGGGACAGATGCACCCTCATGCTCTGGCTCGCTGGCTTTATTCAGCGTCTTGGCAATGCAGGGCCTGGGGGCTGACCCCAGAAGCACTTTGGGGGTGCATAGGGTGGTCAGTGGGGCTGGTCTTCCGCAGGCACAGGCTCACTTATACCCTGTGGGTGGTGCGGGTGGGACCCCAGACTGCCTCAGGGCATGGCCTGGGGTTGGTTGGGCCCTCGGTTCTCTCCCGGTGTGGGGCTGTGCCAAGGCACCATCTTTGCTATTTGCCAGGCCGTCTGGGCACTCAGTACCTCCTGCAAGACACAGTGGGGGCTGCCAGGGGTACCCGTGACCCCTGTGTCCCCATCCACAGGCTCACCAACGGGTCCTGTCGGGGGCCCTGACGCAGCTCTGGTGTTACCTGTCGCGGCAGCAGGACGGTGCCGAGGTGTCTCGGGCTGTGCCTGTTCCTTGTCCTCCCTCCTGTCCCTCTCCTGTGGGAGCAAGCACAGTGTCACACTAACTCTGGGGCCAGACTGATAGGGTGGGGGGGGACATGGCTGGGGGCTGCCTGTGGCACCTCCGGACCTTTCACCATCCTCCTCCACTGGCTCCATACGCACCCGCCTGCGCGGCTGACCCTCATCATCCTCGCTGTCACGCCATGACATTGACCGCGACTCCTATGGGAGAGACAGGCACCATTGGGGTGACAGTGACAAATCACAGCCACGTCCCGCAGCCCCGTGGTGTGGTGTGGCACAGCCACAGCCCGGCTCACCTCGCTCAGGACGGAGAAGCACCCGGAGCAGGGTCTGTGGGGCCGGCGCCGGCCAACGCCGCTCATCCCCTGTGAGGGAAGGGCTGTTACCAGCTCTGCTGGAGCCTGATGCTGCTCGGGGTCACTTTGGCCTCTCCATAAACACCCTGAGCCTGTGCTGGGCAGTGTGAGCACAGGCAGGGAGGTGCAGGCAGGGAGCACAAGCGGGAATGGTGGCTAGAGCTGGAATGGGGAAGGACCGCTGTGCCTAGGCCCTCCCCAGCTCCTCCTGGTCCTTCCCATCAGACACCCATCCCCTGACCACGTTTTGGGTGTTTGGAGGGACATCAGTGCTCCCAGTCCCAGCCCTATTCCAAACCCTTTCCCTGCTCTCCCTTGGTGCAGTGAAGGCCCTGTTCCCCCTGCGCTACCTCCCCATACCAAACGTTTGCTGGTTGCGCAAGCCCTGGGGCTGCATGAGGAGCCCTATGGTGTCACCCCTCAGCGTGCCAAGCCCATCCTCAGCCCCACCAGCACCTGGAGCTGCACAGGGAGTCTGGCAAAGCTGCTTGCCTGTCATTTGGGCTGCCCCATATGGGTTTTTGGCACAGGGCGCTGGTGCCGGAGCAGCCGGTGTCCTCTGGGGTGCTGTGCACAGCATTCCTCTCCCTGCAGTTTCCCCCATTATTCCCTGGCTTTAACCTCCCCCTTCGTACACAACCAACCTCTCTCCGCTGTGTGACCTTTGTGTCTCCATGGTCAGCTCTGCCCACCACCATGAGGGCTGCGGCGGCAGTGAGACCGCAGAGCAGCCCCAGCCTCATGGTGCTGCGGGGGCCCGGCTCCAGCTGTCCCGCTCCTGCCGTGCAGTCTCCAAGCTGGACCTTGGCCCCTGATGTCAGTGCAGCGCCTGGGCCGGCCCCTGGCTGCCCACTGCGGGTGATGGGAGCGAGCTGCCACTGCAGGACACCGGGGAGGGGAAGGGAAGGAACCCGCTGGGGAGGGGAAGACGTGGGCAGTGCCGTCACTGCGGGGCAAAGATGGGGCAGATCCACTACCATGAAAATTAGGATGGAGAAAACATCTCTCCCCACTCTGACCATGACCCCGCTCTGCAGGCAGCTCCATGGGTTGCTCCTCTCTCCTCCCCAGAGCACTGATGCCTCTTGGGTACAGCTTGAGCCTCTGACTATGTCGGATGACACCCGGGTGGAACCGAGCTTCATGAAACACCAGTTGGTTTGTTTTTCCATAGGAGCTCAATTACTCATTGCCCAGCTCTGGATTTGAGTGCTAATGCAGGAAGTGAATTTATCAACAGCAATTCCCAACCCGTGTTTCTGTCCCTTCAACAGACCCATTATTCCTGAATCCGTAACCATGGAAGTTGAACGTGGCTGAACATAAAGAGTGCTGGATTGGTTATAACCAGGAAGGAAGCAGAGCTGCCCCCATCCCCTCTCATGTCCAAGGACTGGCTGGAACACAAGGGGGGGAATCTGCTGACAAATTTCTATGCTCTTCATGCAACACCTGGCTAAAAACATAAAAACCTATAGACTTCATGCTAAAAAGTCCAAAAGTAGGAGCAACGGGCGCCACGAGGGCTCGAAACTCCACAATGTACACAAGAAATAAAGGGTCAGTGTTAGTTTTTAACTCTGGGAGGCTCCTGCAGCTTGAGATACAGTTACAAGTGGAGATGTTGTCTGAAAGAAGTTCCATTGCACGTGAGAGGAAGCAGGATGGGAAAAAGAGGGAATCACAAGGGAATAAAGACCACAGACCAGGCGGGTGAAGCGTGAACAGCTCAGGTCGACACCCCGGTGCGTGCCTGTTTGTTGCATGTGCAGAGAACCACAGGATTTACGCTGATGCTTCTACCCGTTTCTTCCCATTTCACCATGGGTGGCCCCCCTGTACCGAAACTCATTCACTCCTTACATTCCTAACTCAGGTGGAGAAGAAGACCCCCCCCAGCCCTGGAACACGGGTGCCGGGGAGGGGACATCCAGGCCCCCGCCAGACCCCATCGAGCCCCAGCCACGTTTTCAGCTCTGGCGGCAGCTCCACGCACCCCAGACCCGCAGTTTCCATGCACGAACCTCCCCGGGGCGGGGGGGGGTCGCCGCTCCCCCTGTAACAGCACCGCCCCGGTGCACCGCCGGGACACCCGAGGTTGCCCGGCCCGCACCCAAAGGGTTCTGTGCGGGAGCCGCAGCACGGGCAGCAAGCAGCGGGGCGGGGCAGCGGCGGGAACGTGTTTGGGGCTGACCCGCGCTTGGGGCTCCGGTTGAGAGGCACCGGGTAAGGCGGGCGCTGGCTGCTCCTCAGCGGGCACTGCTGCCCGCCCGGCCCGGTCTCTGCTCGGCCCCGGTGCGGCAGGGTGGAGGGGGCGGGGGGCACGGGACGACTCGAACCCGGGCCTCGAGAGGCGCCCGGGGCTTCCGACAGCCGCGTCCCTCGTTACCACGGCAACCGCGGCACAGGGGCGCGCCCGCACATGTAAACATCCGCTGACGCACTTCCGGCAAGGAGCCCGCCTTTCCTCCTCCTCGCAACACGTGCCGATCTCCTGACCCGGACGTTCTTACGATGTCCCAGAACCCCCCGCGCCACCCCGCCTCCCACGTGACAGCCACCGGCTCCGCCATTGGCTGCTCCCACCGGCGGCACCATCTTGTGGCTGCTGCCCGCCGCTCCCGGCCGTGGGCCCCAGGCCTGGGCCTACCCGAGAGGACTGCTGTGATTGGCTCAGCGCCGCATGTGACCCACGCGGAGCTCTGCCATTGGGCGGCTCCGGTGAGGAGGGGAGGGCCCGGCCCAATGGGGACTCCCCTCACGGCCGGCACAGCATCAGGGTGAGAGGTAACCCGCTCCCGTGTGGTGCCGCGGGGCACGTGTTTGCTCTGAGCTCCTGCTCTCGATGGACAGGGCAGCAAAACCACCGCGTCCCGGCAACGTGAGGAGCGGCTGCAGGAGATGGGTGCTTTGGCCCGAGGAAAAGGGGGCTCAGGGGGGACTTGATTGCTCCCTGCGTGACAGGAGGTTATAGTGAGGTGGGTGTTGGTCTCTTCTCCCAAGTAACAAGTTGTAGGACAAGATGAAACGGCCTCAAGCTGCACCAAGGGACGTTTAGGAAAGATTTCTTCACCAAAGGGGCTGTCAAGAGCTGGAACAGGCTGCCAAGAGACATGGTGGAGGCACCGTCCCTGGAGGGACTGAAAACATGTAGACATGGCACTGAGGAACATGGTTTAGTGGTGGACTTTGCAGTGCCTGTCTTTTCCAACCTGTACCATTCTGTGATGACAAGTTTAGGATCACAGTCAATGGAGCCTGTTAAAGTGAAAGTGTGCCTGTGGCTTGGCAGTGCCAGCACTCATTCACTTCAGTCAAACACGGGAAGCTCAGAGAGCCGGGCAGAGCAGCGCAGAGCAGCCAAGCTCAGCGCCATGAACACAACGCGGAATTGTTCCTGCACATGGATAGACAGACCAGTGGACAGTAACTTCAGATACTTTAATGAGAAGACAGCAAAGATCCCCGTGGTCAGAAAACCTCCTGCCCCTGCAGCCGGCCCACCCACACTGCCCGTTTCCATTCTCTCTGTCCCACTCATCCTTCCCTGGGCCTTTTCCTCTGGACGATCCCTGTTTCTGCCACAGGCACTGCACAGTTCTTCTCCCACTGATCCCTCCTCTGCATGTGTCTCACGGCATTTCCTTTCCCACACCGCTTGTGGGGCAGTTTGGCTGCAGGGTGCTGTCAGCTGTCCATGCGGATAATGAAGGGCTGGGTATCTGCATGCCAGCCATAGCTGTTGAGCTCGAGCTTGTGACACACGGATCCAAATACGTGGTCCACCGTCCACATCAATGTTTTATAGGCAGTGTGCAGCGGTATCTGATCTGAGTGAGGAGGTTCCTGTCCTTTGGTGCTCTGGTTAACATGAGAGCTGCAGATGGGCTGCTCCTTGCTATATGCAGACACCTCAGGGTGCAGCACTTTGCTACTCCCCACCACAGCCGCCTCGGAGGGTGGGGGCACAGGCAGCGGTGCAGGGGATGCCACAGGGGTGCAAATTGCTTCTTGGGAGCTGACTCTGCTCTCAGACAGGGGCAGAGTGGCCTCACGCTCTGCAGGAGAAACAAGTGCTTCACACCTTCCCTCCATGGGGACTGACTCCACCTTGCTATCAGGGACAGCAGGCACAGGACTGCCGGTGCTGGAGGCACACCGAGGAACCCTCAGACTCCTGCTGATGTGGGAATTGCAGCGCCACATAATCTGCTTGGCTTTCCTGATGATCTGCCTGATCCGGGCTCTCTGTGTGGCCAGCCTGTGCAGCACGGACCGAGCTTTGCCACCCAGACGAGCCATGTTACCAACCCTGGCCCTGAAACAAGTCCTCTGCGGGCAGCAGTACGCGTGGTCCTTGAGCACGGTGCTGCTTGACACTTGCAGCTGGCAGTAGCTGTGGTCTGTGGGAGGACAGGGCCCGGTGCCACGGTGCCAGATCTGCATCATGCTCTCCCTATAGTAGCAGTGGTCCTTCCAAATAGCCTCCTTCACATCCTTGGCACACAGTTCCCTGGGTCTCAGGAAGAATGGAGCTTCTCCTGAGGGGCAGAAGCTTTCATAGGTGCTCCTCTGACACTGCTCCTTTGGGTCACTGTAAAGGTGCTCCTGAGGATTTGACTTATGGTTCTGCTGTTCCATCCAGGAATTAAGTGCAAGTTCTCTGCCCTGTGCTATGTTTGCTGTCACCCCGTGTTTATTTTCTGCTGCTTCTTCCTTCTTGGGCCAGACAACAGTCTGTGCATGGTTTTCGCTTTGCGCTGGTGCCAGTCCTCTACTGGGCACCTCCACCTGCACCTTGCTGTGACCCATGAGACATCTTAGCTTGTTCAGGAGTGTTCCAGGCTGGAGATGGCACTGCAGGCTCTGCCCTCCTTCTGAGCATGTGCTGGTGGGACTTCCTTCTGAGCATGTGCTGGTGGGAGTTTCACTTCTGGCTGGCTGGGGCTCTAGAGAAAGGGGCCATGCTGAGGGGATGGGGAGGTAAGAAACCTCTATCCTCCCCAGTTTGGGGCCACCAGGGCTCTGCTTCTCCAGACTCTGCATGGCCAGTCTGGCCATGGGGCTGGAGAAGCACCAGTGGCACTGACCAGGCACAGCCAGATCCTGCTGCCAGCTTCCTGCTCCACAGCCCAGTAGCAAGGAAAAAGAGGGACCAGGACTCACCTTGGCAGGGTGACTGTGCCCTCTCCTCTGGCGCACCAGCCCCAGGCCACCAGCCCCATGGAGGTGCCTTCAGCAACCTCATGGCCCCAGCACATCCTGCAGAGAAAGCAGACGGATGGATGTCACTTTCCTGGCAGGGAAAGTGCCCCTTCACGCAGCAGCTGTCGGGCAAAGGAGGAAGCCCTGTCCACTGCCAGCACCCAGGAGTGGTCCTACAGGACCTGGGTTGTTCCTGCTCACCTGGAGAGGGGCAGTCAGGGCCTTTCCACCTCGATGGGCTCTGCAGCGAGCAGACCCATGGCTCTTCCCCACGCTCCATCCGGTATAAAATATCAGGTTTGGGGCCTGTGTAACCTGTGGGGTGGAACAGAGTGTGTTGTTCCAACACAGACTGTCAGAATAAAATGTTACCATGAGAAAATAAAGATGTTCCCTGTGACACTGTGCTTCACTGTGACAGGAAGAGCCCAAGCAGAAACACCATGAAAAGGGGGAGAAACAGCAAGCGGGATGTCAGAGCTGCTGCCAGTGAGTGACAGCAGGCACGTTATCCAAAAGGACCTTGCTGTGCAATGAGGTGTTGGCTCCCCTGTACCATGCCTGGTGGGTGCTACCCCTGCCTTGCTGCATCCTGAGCGCCCATGGGAAGGGACAGAGTCACTGGGCAAGAACCACCCAACCCCAGGGCTGGTAGCTCAAAGGGCCCCAAACCCTGCACATTTCACAGACTCCCAGACTGGTTGGAGTTGGAAGGGACCTTAAAGCTTGTCTAGTTCCAAGCCCCTGGAATACCTTCCACTAGACCAGGTTGCTCCAAGCCCCATCCAACCTGGTGCTGAACGCTGCAAGAGATGTGGCAGCCACAGCTTCT